GATATAACTGGCCCTTGGGTGGCCGGAGTGCACCTGAGACCCACAGGCCTGGCACTGGGCCTCCTGACATGGAATCTGGGAGTTGTTGCAATATGAATTTATCATGGTACCTGGTATTTCCATGGAAACCACCTGGCCAAGTTACCAGGCCTTGACCTCAGAGAGCCTGAGGCCAAGCTGGGAAAACATAAATACTAATACATGGCATGACCCAAACTCTTGAATGCTAAAAGAAGGGTCTTTGTTCACAGAATGGAAAGACGGTGGTGGCCTGGAGTGAGGTGTGCCAGAAGGCTTCTAAGACATCCAGAACAGGTGAGTTAGCGAGGAGGAGAGGATGATGAGAGCTGTTCCAGGGAGAAGGAAGGGGTGTGGTGCCTTCTAGGTCCTGGGAGCAGACTGAGATGAGCCAGCTGTACCATCCATCGTCCCTTTCTCAGGCAACAAAAGCTATTTATTGAGAAAGGGGGTGGTAAAAAAGTGCAAAGAAAGCACTCATAACTTGACACATTATAAAAATGCTTCTTGCTGCAACTCTGCCTTCTTTCCTTCACTTCTACAGACATGTTGCATCTGCAGATGGATATGTGTACATGTTCTAAATTCAGGGGCTGGTACACGAGTCCTCGGTCAGCGGTCACTCCAAAGCACTGCCAAGCGACATGGGCCACAGTTCTTCTTAACAGTGACAGCCTGTGAGGCTCCGTCCAGCCCTCCAGGCAGCCACCGCGACACTCGGCTGTAGGACTGCTAGCTCCCATGGGGTGCTGTCTGATGAACCACAGCAGTGCCTGTCCAGGGCGCCCCTACTATTCTGGCCTCACTAAAGCACCCTAGTTGAGCCAACCAGCCCAAGACCAGCCACTAGCAATTAACAAGGATCAGAAATGTATGAGATTACAGTCCATGTCAAGCTGGCTGCTCAAGCGAATTACAGCCCAGCCCAAACAAGGCAAAGAAAAGAAGTACGTGGAGGAAGAGAGAGGGACCCTGAAATGTATTAAGCCCCTACTTTAGGCCAGGCATGGGTAGGAATTTTTATTTAATTTTCCACAATTCTTATTTAATTTTTGCACCATCCCAGGAGGTGAGTATTATTGTTTCTATTTTAAGACAAGGAAACTGAGGCTTAGAAAAGTAAAGTAACTTGCCTAAATCAGGGCCAGTAAATGGGAAAACTGGGATTGAAAAACTGGGAAAACAAAACCAGTTCTGTGAGCCCTTCTCTTTTCTCAACAGTTCATAGGGTTGGGGGACACATTAAAAGTCATCTGGGGGCCGGCCGAGTGGCGCGTTGGTTGAGTTGGCTTGGGAGCGTGAGCTCTGAGCAGCAGGGCCACCGGTTCGGATCCACATGGGCCAGTGATGCTGCACCCTCTACAGCCAAGTTGGTGAACAACAGCTTGACCTGGAGCTGGGCTGCCGTGAGTCACCGGGCGACAGCATAGGCTTCAGTGGGGCTGCAGAGGGCTGCCATAAGCTACCGTGAGTGGCTGGCAGCCAGCGTGAGCCACCGTGAGTCACCATGAGCAGTCAGTCATCCAATGGCCGGCGACCGATCTGCCTCAGCCGGGAAGAGTGCAATGATCACAATACCAACTTGGACCAGGGAAGCGACATCCTCCACAACTAGATTGAAGAACAAAAGGACAGCAACTTGTCTGTTCCCCTTCCCTAATTCTCCAACACTGTTCCCCTCCCCCAATTCCCCAATAAAATCTTTAAAAAAAAAAAGAAGTCATCTGGTCCAACAAACTGATGGTCGCCAGATGGGAGGGGGGTGGGCAGCCGGGTGAAAAAGGAGGTGGGATTAAGAAGTACAAATTGGCAGTTATAAAAAGAGTCACAGGGATGTAAATTACAGCATAGGGAATATAGTCAATGATACTGTAATAACTATGTATGGTGCCAGGTGGATACTAGCCTTATTGGGGCAATCATTTCATAAGGTATATAAATGTCTAACCACTACATTGTACACCTGAAACTAATATAATGTATGTCAACTGTAATTGAAAAAAAAAAATTAAAGGTGAAAAAAAATGTCCGCTCCAATTCCACTTTGCCCTTAATCCTGAGGCCGCTTCCAACCTCCGATGAGAGCGGCCATGCCCTCAGCCCCTTCAGCCCTCTTGTCCCCAGATGGACAAGCCCAGTCCCCTTCTCTTTTGACAAAAATACCCCAAGGCCTTTACCCACAGAAGTAAAATCCATTAAATCATTGCCAGAATAAGAGAATACATGTTTTATTTTAAATAAGCCTCAGCAACCCACTAACTACTTCACAACATTCCTTTCCACAATTCTTCAGGCTGAGCCAAATCTCCACCTTCTCAGGCAAGTCTCTCTTTTTGCTTGATTCTCAGGAGACATACAGGGCACCCGAGAGCCATCTTCTGCATTGTGNCCTTAATACAGTTCCTCATGTTGTGGTGACCCCCAACCATAAAATTATTTTCATTGCTACTCTATAACTGTAATTTTGCTACTGTTATGAATCATAATATAAATATATTTTTGTTTTCCGATGGTCTCAGGTGACCCCTGTGAAAGGGTCGTTCGACCCACAAAGGGGTCACGACCCACAAGTTGAGAACCGCTGCTCTCGTGTTTGCTACAAAAAGATTTAGCAGCTAATGTGCCATTTGACTTCTTTCCAGAGCATTGCACTAAAATTCCCCTTTGCTTTTTCAGAATCAGCCCAACTTAATGGGCTTGCCACTAATTACTTTTTTTCCTATATAGATATTTTTCCCCCTCATTCCTTCACGTCTCTACTGATAAGCTTTCAAGCGACACATTATCTTCCCAACCCAGTCACACAATTTAGCAGTTAAATAAGCTATTTATAAGAGAAGTTGCCCCCTTCTCTCTGTGAAGGGTCTAACCGCTCCAAGCTTCATTCTGGCTTTCTGGTGAAAGGGCCCCGTCCCCTTCCTAAATCTCCTGATGAGCATCAGGGGTTCCCATGGAGCTCAGAGTGCCCAGCATAGTCGGGTGACCATTCCAGCTTATTAACTTGCCTGACTACTGCTCAGGAGATGAAGAAATAAAGGGACTAAAAGCATAATCGTTCTCCTCATTGAGCTGTGGGATGAAGTACTTATTCTGGAAATAATGATTCCAGGTAGGAGGGCAGTGAAAATTGGGGCCTGTGAGAAGCGAGTGTTTTATTACACAGTTTCTAAAATGTGAGCACTTAAGTCTCTTTTATTATCCTATATTATTATAGTTCTATAAAAAAATCATTTCTAGGAATCAATCCCAAAGGGTTGAAGCCTCCCAAAAAGGAACTAGAAGGCAGAGTTTAGAAGAAGCCCTGTAAACAGAGAAACTAGACTTTCGACCCTACGCATGAAGACTTTCTATGGCAGTGTCCACCTTCAAGGCATGACTGACCCTATGCAAACAACGCAACGCAGTGACTGGGACTTTTTTTTTTTTAATGTGCTATGATGTAACAGCACCCCTTCTTTTTTTTTTTTTAATTAGGGAATTGGGGGGATGGGAACAGTGCTGGGGAATTGGGGGAAGGAAGGGGAACAGATAAGTTGCTGTCCTTTTGTTCTTCAGTCTATTTGTGGAGGACGTTGCTTCACTGGCCCAAGTAGGCACCATCATTGCGCTCTTCCCCGGCGAGGCAGATCAGTCGCCGGCTTCCGGACGGCCGTTCACTGCAGCTGCTGGCCGCTCACACTGGCTGCTGGCTACATATGGTAGCCCATGGCAACCCACTGCAGCAGGGGCTGCAGCCTACACGGTCACCGGGGACTCATGGAATCCCAGCTCCAGGTTGAGCTGTTGTTCAGCATCTTAGCTGTAGAGGGCAGCGTCACTGGCCCTCACATGTGGGATCCGAACTGGGGCCCTCTGGCGTCCCAAGCCAATTCTTAACCAACGTGCCACTCGGCCGGCCCGTGACCGGGACTTTTGCGTGGCTCTTCTCATGCCATGACTTCGGAAGAAAGCAACTCTTTATAAAGGAGAGAAGATGAGTATGAAGTTCCTGTTTTTCAGATGGGACAGCTGAGGCCCAGAAAGGGTAAATGAAGTTACTTTACGTGAAAGCCAGTGAGTAGTGATGGTACTGGGGTGAAGGGGGGTTGGGGGAACCCCTCTGTTTTGATTTACAGCTCCACCATTTCCCCACGCGAGGCCCGGCCAGAGTGGGGAGTGTGTCCACCCAGCCCTGCTCGGTTTCCGGTTATTTCCACGCCCCCTGGGACCCAGGTGTCCATTACCCTGCTCTGTAAGTTGCTGACCACACCAGCACAGAAAACATAGAAAGGCTTTTGCCTCCAGCTCTCCCATTAGGATCAAGACCTGGGGACAAAGGAGTCGAGTGAAATTGAGGGGGAGCTCCAAGAACCCCTGCGAATATCCCTGAGCCAAAGGCAAACCACTCAATCTATCTGAGCTTCAACATGTTACCTAACATGGGTAAAGCCAGTGGACCTAGCCCGACAGTCCACTTTGGGTGGCGATGACGTTTTCACAGCGTTTGGACCATGACAACTAGAAGCACTTCACATACTCAGTGACTTTCTCTTCATAAAAAGCCCACCCCACCGCAGAGCACTGTGAGGGGTTCCCCGGTGCAGTGACTCCCAGACATACACAGAAATCACCTGAGGATTTGTTAAAGTGCAGCTTCTGATTCAGTGAGTCTGGGGTGAGCCTGGGGCTCTGCATGTCTAAAAAGCTCCCAGGCGATGTCTATTCTCCTTCTCCCGGAACCACACTTTCAACAGCAAAGCCTAGAGCACAGTTTGATAAACCGCAGTTCTCAGGACTGAACAAGCAATGGTAATGAATAGCTCACACCCGCCAGCCCTGCAATGGGGCCCAAATGGCATATTAACCCACTGACGACATTTCCTATATTACTCTTTATTGGCCGTGTTTTACTGTCACCCGGCAGGATTACAGGGGTGAACCATGCAAGCGAAAAGTCCTCTCTGCAGGAGCCCAGGAAAGGAGTGAACCAAGAATTTACTCACTGGAGAAGCGGGCAAGTGGCCTGGCAGCCTTGTCTCCAGCTTCATTTGCAACTGGAAAGAAAAAAAGAAGATGCGTTTAAGAACAAGGCACGCGTGTCCACAGAATATGCCCAACCTACAGCGAACTCTCTGCATAATTGGACAGGTGCTCTAGGTTAAGAGACTTTATAAGAGAATAAAACCCACTTGGCTCCCTCCCTTTCGGTATTTCCAGTGCTGCTCCCAATGCCTGAATGAGGTCAAACGTCTTGATCAGTTTGATGAGAACATCAGAATAAAGCTGGAGAGGGCCTACGCGACATCAAGCTCATCATGCCTGGAGGCCTTAGCTGGCGTGCATCCACTTAGTACGAGGCCTGCACGCCTGGCTTCTGAGCCAGGGTCCACCCGTCCTTCTGCCTCGAGCTTCCTCTCATCGGAATGTCCCTCAACACGCAAAGGCACCCCAACCACTTGACGGAAGTCCANACCAGGGGCCTCAGGGACCTCCTCCCAGCTCCCGACTCAATGGGTGACCCAGTGATTCGGCCCTGATGGCCGGGTGGAGGAAGACTGGCATGAAAGCCCATGTGTTTCTACTCCCCCGACCACGGGGGGGCCTCTCCGGGGGCACCCCGGCCCGGCGAGAGCTCCTTGCAGCCTGTGCAGCTCTCCCTTTCTGGCCCTGGCTCTCCTGAGTCTCCCCACCGCCTGGCAACAGTGACGCCGCTCTGTGCCCCAGGTGACTGCCCTGCCACGAGAGGCTCACCTTTCCCTCCTGAGGGGCAAACAGAGGCAGCATTCCAAGGCATCTTGGAATGAACTCCCAGGACAGCAGTGGAAGCTGAGGCCAGCTGACAGGATGTGAGTCCAGGCTCCAAAACCCACCTTGGCAACACTAGTCCACCACCTGCTGCTCTTTTGGAAGGGGGAGATGCTTTGGGCGCTAAAGACCACATCCCAGGAAGACTGTTCCTGGAAAAAGAAACGCGAAATTTACATTTCCAGAACAACTATTCTACGAGTATACTAGCCCTGAGCTTTTTAGACAAATCTCTATCCTCACCACTGCTCTGTGAGATAAGTGTCACTATCTCCTTTATCCAGATGGGTAAACAGGTCCAAAGAGGTTGAGTATTGCCCAAGGACACAGACAGCTTTTGTGTACAGCTGGGCAGGTTGTGCACTGCACAATTCTAAGGAGCACAAGTCACATCATAGGCACTGTAGATTTATATGTTTATCCTGAAAATTTTTCAGCAGAAAGTGACTTCAAAAGGGGCATCCTTTTCTAATTTGTACAAAGGCACATATGGATCAGCAATGGTTCTAATAGATGACCACCACCCTGCTGGTCAGTGGTGATTTGACCCTACATCTGTCTGACTCCAAAGCTCTTGCTGTTTCCACCAGACCTCTATACCCTCCTTGGGATAACTTCAAGCATTTCCATATCATATTCTCCACAGTTCAACTGCCAGAGGGAGAACCACAGCTTTCTAGACCATCCAAGCTGGAAAAGATGGTGGCAATCAATAATCTACCTCAAAACCTTCCCTCTGCATTGAAAGGATACAAGTGCCGGCTGAGTGGCTCAGTTGGTTAAGAGCTCGCTCAAGAGTGTGAGCTCTGAGCAACAGAGGTTCGATGCCAGCCTGAGCTGAGCTGCTGCTGAGCTGCCAACAGGTGGCAGGATGGCTCAGCTAAAAAAAAGAAAGGATACAAGACCCAGAGAGGGGAAATGAGCTGCCCAAGATCACACGGCTGGGTGTGTGTGGCACAGCTGGGGCTGGCATCCCATGCAGCTGAAGGCAAGTCTGGCCCTGATACAAAGCTGTTCTAAGCACAACCATCAGAACTAGGTTACCTAGGATAGTAGTCTCAACTTTCTTTTGCATCGGAATCATTTTTTCAACTGTAGGTGAAGGCAGTGAGTGAAGGGTCTTGAGGGAGTGTCCATCACCGGACAACTTTCTGAATTCCAAGCTTAAAGACAAAAGGGACTGGAGGGAAGAGAAGCTGAAAGGGCCACAGCTCAGAAATCTCTCCAGAACAGGTGAGAAGTGCATTCCTCGGAAGGCATGTCAGGTCCTGGGAGGGAAAGCGTTGCTAAGTGGAAGCTTCTAGGCCCTCCCTGGTGGCTTTCAAGGCAGTCGTCATCCACCTTGAAGGGAGGAC